GGAGGATCTCACCATGGTGGGCGGGAGTCATGTGGCGGTCCACCACTGACAGCGGGGCCCACCATACCATTAGCTCCTTTTATTATAAAAAAAAACCCTGGAATATTTTTAATGTCATATTATAACAGCATGACTCAATACTCGGAGACTTCTACCCTCCCTCCACCCCCCAGAGATCCATATTGGATGCGGAGGACGAAAGCAGTTGGTCATAGCAATACTCATGAGTACTCTTCTGAGTAGGCTCGAGAGCCAAGTTTTATAAATACGGATATATGAAGGGTTGAAAGGCAAAGTGGTCTATCTGCAAAAAATTTTTTCTACGAGCTCCATACGGAATGAGTGAATATTCCAGTGACCGTCTTGTTAAAAGCGAGAAAAAGTATGTATCGATAGAGCACTTGCTCCTTTACCTAATTAAAAAAAGAGAAACTATAATTTTCTATGAAAGGAACAAGGTTCTAAAGCACAAAAACCAACACTTTTTTCGGACATTTTTTGCAGATGGACTACTTTGCCTTTCATACATGGAGACATTAAGACCCTTTCCAGCTGGTGGTACACCACAAACGAGCTAACTGGTAATGTACTGGCTTTAAACGACCCGGAAGGTGGCGGACCAGTACTGGCAAGTGGGACATGAGGCTGGTGGCCCACAACCTAGTCAGGGTGATGGGCCACCAACTCGCTTTCCCAAACGTAGTTGGTGGCCCACCACCTACTTGCTACTTGGGGCTTGCTCAGAGAGTGATACATTTACCAAGAAGAAAGTGAAGGGATATTTCCAACTGAGGCAGAAATGTAGCTTTTATGTTTAATATCTTGCTTCCGTTTCTCCTGCAGTGGGCAACCTAATCCTGGAGCGCACGTGCCCTCTACTCCGGATGGCAGGTGACTGGAAAAAAAAAATTCAATTGACAAAGCCTCGCGGGCCAAATGCTGCCCGCGGATTGCTCACAGTGGCGGATACAGGGCGGGGGGATCGCCCCCCCCCCCTATGGCCAGGGTAGCATTTGCCTTATTTATTCAAAACAGCATATGCATGAAATTTTATTGGAGCCAGTGAAATAGGTACTCAAGTTCTTACCCTAACGAAAAATAAAAAAGGTGAAAGGACGAGGAATGGTGGTAGGCGGGGGGGTTTGGTAGGAACTTGGGAACCGCCCCCCCTATGAAAAATTTCTGTATCCGCCCCTGGTTTCTCATCACTGGCCCCACAGCGAGTAAGATTCCTGAAGTTCCACGCTCTGCATTCTGCGTTTTACCTTTTCCCTTCGAGTACATGGCAGGAGGACAAGTTCCTTTAGAAGGCCTAACGTTAATCCTATCCTTCCATTGAATCTGCCTAGTAGTACGTCGTTAGGAGTTATTTATTTTGTTCTCTGCCTAAAACTGAAATTTTCGGTTACGTCAACTTAATTTGAGCTTGCTGGGTATGTTCAATGTTACCCCCTCTACTTTTGTAGTATTGAATTCCCAGAACTACGAGGACCATAAAACAGATGGATCCAGATCGCCTGATGCCACTTGAAGGTTCTCCATTTTTTCCTGATACAATGAATCAATATTTGGCCCAATAGCCATGTCTACCAATGATGTTCTCCCCCAAGGCACTTACGTACCTTAAAGTAAGGTACGTAAGTGAAGCTTTCATAACCCAAGTGTCTCTCTGTAATGCTCAAAAGTATCGGTACAGATTGAAAAGAAGGGGTAGAATAGATATTCCAATAAAGATACTGATTCAGTTGTGGGGGGGGGGGGGGGGGAGATTCCTGTCTCCCTGAAGTTGATGCTTAATTTCTAGAAAGGGGCTCACCTGACTTTGAGATTGCTCCTCCAATCTGGAAGAGAGCCTCATACCCCTGCTCAATGTGCTTGACTAGAGATTTGTGATGTTGCCAGGGTTAGGGGTTGCATCTGCTCTTTTATTTTAGGTATTAAAATAGTATTGGTACAAATATTACTGAAAACTGATACAAACACTTGTATTGCCAAGCCTAGCAAGGAACTTGTAGGTAGGTAACACTGTGCAGTCAATGTTTTTTTTGACCAATCCATGTATTTTGTCTGTCTCATCCCATCTTTGACATCCCTTTCCAGTGGAGTCCCTTGGATGTTTGGTTCTACCCTGTCCAATCCTAGGCTGATTGACCTACCTGGACATTGGAGACAGATCATCCAGCACCAGGGTAAGTATAGGTTGTTCCAACCTGTGTTTGGAGTTCAATAGCTCCACATTGCCATGCACATTCTCTTCCTAATAATTCTATTCCAGACTTGGATGCAATCCTCCTCCGTAATGCCTCCATGTAAGACCCAATTTGACCATTGATCTCTATTGATCTACTCAATATATTATTTTTTCTCTCATTATCTGGGCTCTGTGGGGTCCCAGCATCTGAAAATTTTGATAGTTACTTCCTCAGTCTGCCAATGCATAGATATATTTAGTGAAGCTATTGATGCATCAATAGATTGTGACAGTCCTATTTGAAAAGTGGAAACTTGCTGATCTCTCCCCTTCATTACAAGTGGGATACAGAATTTGTCTGAAAACACTGTCTGAAGTGTGGAATGTGTTTGGACAGGATGTCAGCTTTGAGACTAATGTTTTGCAAAAATGAGAAAATAATATTTCTTCATGAATCTTTCCTTCTCAGTCTGAACCTTATCAAAAGGTGTTTAAAGTCATAATGCTGGCATTGCTGGCACTTCGCACCTAGTCAACATCAATGTAAATTCATTGTAATTGATATTTTGATGGGGTAAACGTGTTTTTAGAGGTAGAAGGATATTGAAACATGGCCAATAACTGTAGTCTAAAATTGGATCACCAATGCCAATGTGCTGTCCACCAAATAAATCTGTTGGAGGAGTTGAATAGTGTAGCTGCAGAAATGGAAAATGTAAATTCATCATATTCTCTTGATTAGACAGGATTCCCCTTCATTCAGAACTAATACTCATTTATTTTCAGAGTTTCAGTTTTAATGCCAGTATATTGGCTGGCCAAGTGATGCCTATGTTGATTTCCAATAATATTAAAGAATATTGGCCATTATCCAATATAATTGAAATATGCTTCCAAATGTTTGTTGCATCAATGTTGCAACCAAGTCTCTGCTGCAAAGAAATAGTAAATGTTTTTTTTTTTCTCTTTCTAGTTCCACTGTGGGAAGTGTGGAAAGATGACATCAAGGACTTCAATGCCGTAGAGAATGATGCATAATGGCAGGGGAGATGAAGGGGTTGAAATACATAATTATTTTTGCTTAATTTTCTATTCTGGTCATTACTTGAACTTGTCCTATGTTTTTTCCATGTTCTTATTATCAGAAGTAATCACATACAGATTCTAGCATGCCAGTTGTGCATGTTGGATCATGGCATAATAATCAGAGATATTGAAATAGAGGGCAACTAGTGACTTACAGAAGCACCATGACTAGAAAGGAAGATGTGAAGTTGAAAGCTGGAGCTGATCTAATTCAGGTGAGGGCATTTATTCACCCAGGCCACAACATCCTGTGTCTATAGTTTGATCTTGAGTATGATTTAGGCCTGCAAAGCCATAAGTTAAACTAAAGCTTCTTAGACTGTAACTTATATATTGAACTTTGTAAGTAGCCTTGTAAGCCTGCATGATCTTCAAGAGCAAGCTGGGCCTACACACGCTCACATGCACATACACACACCACTTGTATTGTGAGAGGTTGTAGTAGAACAAGTATAGACCATAAACATTATTACATCCAACAGGTGCCTTACCAGCACAGATGACAGGTGGGCTGCATGAACAGAACATGAAAATAGAATTGGCACCATAGCTTTGGTGTTAGACTGCAGTTTCAAGCACTATGAAATTTTCTGATTTCAATAAATTACGTGGATTTTAAGCTAATTGTCATGGAGCAGCTTACTATTTTCTCTGTAAAATATTGGGCACTCATTACTAATGGCCACAGCTTATATGAGTTTAAATGTACAACATTGTTGCTTGTAATTTGTATTTTTTTTTAATTTGCATAATTTAATGCAATCCATTCACAGTCTTAATTTTTTTGTGTGATATGTGCTTGCAAGAAAAAAAAGCCATAGAAATTAAGAAACATTTATTTTCCTATTTAGAGGGGAATCCATGATGCAACAATACAAAGAAAAGCCAAGATATTGGAAGCCAAGATATTGGAAGACTTGGAAAACATGGGATAAGGGCTTGAGAGAAAGAAGTCTTCTCACCTTTCCATCCATCATCATCACAATTCCATCCAAATTGAAAACTCAATCTGGAGTACTTTTGCTTGAATTCACTCATGATTTTTGAGCAGGCAGGAAATCAGTTCCTGATTTCTCAATGATGACATTACCCTAGTCTCAGGCTCCTTTTAACATTGAGCCAAATCCACTCTCAATAGTTATGTCACTGCACAGACATAGCACCAGGTCTCTCTTGAAAAAAGAAACATGGAATTCATGAACTTGATTGAATTTCTGATTCAATTGCTTCAAGCATTATTAGTTTCAAGTAACCTAGAGCAACTCATAATTTATCAGCAGAATTACTATAATATTCTCATTTGCCCCTTTACTCCAGCATGAGATGATCCCTATTCTCCAATTGACAGTGAAAACCAGTTGTAAAGTAATGTTTTCACTAGTCCTTTTACTACTTACAGGAACCTGAGTTCATAGTCACTAGTATGGTTGAAAGGCAAATAGTAGGGTTGGGTTTCAAAACAAGACACTTGGCAAGATCTTGAATTTTGTTTCATTGCCAAGTCTTGATAAGATGTCCTCCCAGTTAATGCCCAGTCAAGTGTTGATAAACTTTTGAATATTAATTTTTTTTTTAAAGGTTTTTCTCCCCTCATTTTACCTATCTAACCATGTCCTCCCTCAGCACCCCAAAGGGAAGGATCTTGACAAGATTTTTTCTTATCAAGCCCAACCATAGCAAATACCATTTGCAATTATGAGACATTCAAAAATACAAGTTGGCCCTATTTTTACATCTGGACCTTTATCATAAAGCTTTTACCATACCTTCTCCATTCACTAAGTAGTCAAACAGGAGGGGAATATTGGCATCTTAGGTGAAATGCAAGAAAAATTATCCTTTCTTAGTTCTCATTAGGTCTGTGATTCACTGGACAGTAACTGCTATTCTTTCAGGCTTAAGTTTTCCAATAAAGTGAGCAGAGATGGAAGTCTCACCATGAGATAAGTGCTCAAGCAAGCCATCTACACTCTAGCATCAGATTGTCTCAACATGAGACTCCTTTAATCTCCATGAAGCTCATGGTATGAAAATACAGTCAAAATTCTTCCACTATCAGTGCAGAATTCCATCCACCTGCACTTAATTTGATAACTCTGGTGCCTGAAGGCAAGGGCACTTTTTGAGGGCCAGTCACTTGGTCACAGTGCTCAAGGCCCAGCTGTCCATATTTGTTGAAACCCCATGTCCATATGGATCCATCACCAAGTTGTGCAATGGAGTGCCTTGAACCTGCTGCTACCATGCTGACTATGACATCTTCTGACCAGGCATCAAGGATTCGAGGTGTATACTCCATAGTGACAAATTCTTTATCAATGTCAGAATTGTATGGAAAGCCAAGCTGGCCTACTTCATTCCACCCCCAGACATATATGTCACCCCAGGAACTAAGAGCTAAACAATGCCATCCACCAGCAGCAATGCTCTGAATGGGCATTCCCATAAGGATTTCTACAACTTCTGGTTGGTCTATTCTATCAGGTTTTCCATTGCCAATTTGACCACGGTTGCCATTTCCCCATGTAAAGAGGCTGCCATCAGTAGTTAACATCATAAAATGTTCATAACCACAAGCCACTGATTTCACTGTTAGTCTCCATGGTTGAGGCACAATGCCTTCCAACATCCCTCTGGGACTTCCATCCCTGCCACAAGCAAGCAGACACCCATCATTCAGGGACACTGATGCAATGTTCTCTAGCCCGTGATGTTCCCACCTTCCATTTTTATAGATATAACATTTCCCTGTTGAGTCGATTGCCACTATGTCTGTTTGAGAGCAGGAGACTGCCACTGGAGAAGCGTCAGATATCCAACTTAGCTCTTTGTTCTCCTCCTTCGCATCCTGGAGGCCTCTGAAAATGATTTGGTTGTTGGCAATGCAGACAAGGAACTCCCAACACATGGCACATTCTTCAATGGAGTCTGCAGCTAAGACTTCAACAAAACACTGTGACTTGAGTCCTCTTTCCTGTTTAACTTGGGTGAAGCCATTGAATCCACAGGCCAGGAGTTTTCTTTTTGGAGCAGGGTCACACCTAAGATGAATCTCCTCCATCTGAGAGTCACACACCATTCTTAGATTGTCTCTTGGAATATTTGTTTTTCCCTAGGCCTATATTTGCCACCTCTGTCATTGTCACAATGTTCCTTAATTATATTTACGGTTCACTGTTATGATAATCATTGCTGGTGTGGCAACAAAATCAAAATAATGATGTAGAAAACCCAAGTAGATCAGAAGTCCATTGTTGAATGGTCATGCATTACAGGACAGTTAACTAAGCTGCTTCAGCAAAGTAGAAAGCAAAGTCCACATAAGGAAACTTCACTAAACAATATACTGTAGGATGCATGTCCTTGCCTCAAACATTTCAATGAGGGTCTGTGCATGCCTCCCCACAAAGCAGATACAAGGCCCCTGAGCCCCTTATTTCTGACTCAGCTGAATGATTTATTATGATTTACAATGTAGGCTTCAACAAGGTCAGAACAGAAAATTGGACTGTACCAATTTCTGTAGAGTGCAAAATAATTATATGACTTAGTTGCACCGGAGACTAAAATCAATGGGAGTGTATTTCTTAGAGCTTTCTTGCCCTTATTGACCCTATTGTCCACCTTTTCTCATGGTTTCTCTCCTATTTTCCCTCATAAGTGAACACAAAATGTGACACGAGGAGAGTTTGTGTAGAGTACACATGGTGCAATAATCAGGATTAGAGTATATAATGATTCCCTCTGTGTATCTGTTGAAAGTAATCATCTGTCATATCAGCATGCTGCTGATATCACACTCTATCATATCTTATTTCTGGAAAAGCCTATGTGGTAATTTCAAAGTTTTATACAAGTTGGCTTTCCTTTTCCAGCAATACATGCTGGTGTTTTTGATACTCTTAGATTTCTCAATTTCAAAAACCTAAAACTACTTCTTTAACTTACAGGGTATAAAGAGGGTACATAGGGGCAAAAACTGAACTCAACCCATTTGATTGTCTAAATGTACTTGATGCAAGCCAGCCTGCTTCTGCTTCATAAAAAATAAATGACAATGCATAGAGGACCTTCTCTTTTTAAATTTATTTTTCAATTTATTATTGTTAAAATATGACTATCTTTAAATGAAGTTATAATCTCCCTGAAGAAAAAGAATTCTCATATGGAAATATTAAGCTTAATTGCTGCCAATTGTTGCATTTGAGAGATGTAAGAGGGCCTTTAGGAACTTCCCTTGTTGCCTTGAATACAAAACAAAGACTTCCTTCTTGACATAATGATTCCTTCCTTTCCCTTAATAGACTTCAGTGAAGAACAAGTAGAAACAAGTCTAGCTGGAGCGCCTAGCATGCTCTTAATAAAAACATTAAAAAAAACATCTGGAGTTTGAACTGATGCATTTAACCTTTTTAGTGCCATGAGGCGGTTTTTCGGCCATGGCTTTTCATTTGGTTTCATCACTCACATAGTTGGGGTACTTGTTAGATGGCATAAAAATAGGTCTGCAGAATTTTTGGAAGTAGCAGATGTGGCCGAAAAATTGGCTAAAAGGGTTGAGGAACTATTTCATATTCAAGTGCTTGAAAATACTGAAGGTCTAAGACAACTTTCTCTGATTCAGCAAATTTGGGGGCACTTGAATAAAATGCTGATATCACACACATTTATGGAAACAAAAACAACAGGGGCATTCTTGCGACAGGCCTAATATTGTACATGTGGACATACTTGTATACATATGCATATCCCGTCGGAACGTGACAAAGATTTGTAACGCGCGCCAAGGAGGACTGGTGTTAATATGGCACTTGGCCAGAAGAGTTTCACTTTTCTCGCCTTTCACCTCGCATGATCTGGAAAAAAGTTCCCTATGTACTTATGATCTGAAAGCCAGATGTTAAGTATCGGTCCAGAGAAGTGCGGATAGGATAATAGATAATGATACCGTCTACATGAGAGATGCCATGCCGTCCAAATCCACGTCTCTGTTGGATGCTACGGTGCTAAGCTGAGCGATGCGCCATGCTACTAGGTTATCTTCAAACACCACCTGACTCTGAAAAGTCATTTCAATGACTAAGCCCGGGGCCGAAAATAAATCAGATCTCTAAAGGATATTGCATTAAATCTGAACTGAAGTGAAGGATCGGGATCGGCATACCGATATTTACGAGTCAAAGCATCACTGAAAAAGAAATATGGATCCCTGCATGGGTTGCACGCCACGTGGTGGCTTGCCTGTCTGTGCTCATTTTGGTCCATGGTGATCTGTAATTCTACAGAACTTTTGGCTTGGCAGAGTTTATGCGAAAGTTGTCGGTATTGCGAGTGAAAGTGAGTTGATCGATTTTTGAAGGAGAACCATTTTCAAGCCTTAATTTGAGCTTGCTTTGGATGTATAGTGACCTGAGAGAGATGTACTGTCTTATTTCTGCCGAGTTGAATGTGTCAAAATCCTGGCAGATGATGGGCTGCCTGAGCCATAAATGTCTATCAGGATCAGTCATTCTCCCTTTCTCATAATTTGCCTGAGATTGTCCATCAGCGTATCCCTTTTTTTTCTCTTCTGAAGAAGTCATAATTTCTTCCAAGGACTTTTCCCTGTAGCGATGCAATGTAGGGCTGTGATGAGAGTGAGCTGCAGTTGAGATGCAATCGTTCTATTTTCCATTGGCGTAATTTATTTTAAGATTCCGTAGCTCTGTTTCCTTTGCATGCTTAACACATTTCTGAAAATTGTTAACTCTTTCAGTCCTGGTGGGGCTCCTGAGTCCCACATTTTCTTATACGTTGTGCAGGGTTATACAATAATGCACAGCCTTGACGCCTCATTGGACTTCCAAGCCCTTGTGATCTCTTTTGGAAATTGAAATTTTTTTGGTTAATGGTGTTTCATTGTAGAGGGTTGCATAAGGAAAATTCATCTTTGCATCATTTATATTTTTTAATTCAGGACTGCAAGGGCCTCTTTGACAACATAACCCAGATACTTCCCACATTTGTACGATTTTGTTATGAGCAAGTTCCTTTATAGCTTGTGATGGGCTCCTATCACTGCCTAGGCCTGTTCAGCCGACTCGTGTCACCGTGCCGTGAGATATCCCTCGGCGCAGAGAGATGTCCGCCACAATTCGGCGCTGAGAGGCGTCCCCTACCTCCTCGACTGCCGACTCGTGTCCCTGCTAGCCTAACTTTGCCGAGCCATGACCTGCGGTAGAGAGGCGGTAGGACTAGATTCTTGGGGATTTCTCCCTAGCAACTAACGGCTGGTAATGAGACATACATACGACTCCACCGACTCGTGTCCCTGCTAGCCTAACTTTGCCGAGCCATGACCTGCGGTAGAGAGGCGGTAGGACTAGATTCTTGGGGATTTCTCCCTAGCAACTAACGGCTGGTAATGAGACATACATACGACTCCTTTGGACTCGAGCAGTTTACGTACTACTCATCCCCGATTTAACTAATGAGCATGGGCGGTTCGTGATATTTAGCGGTAGTAGATGATCAATGGAGGTAGGGTAGGCCTAGGCCCACCCTCCTATTGACGATCCACTACCATTGAATATCACGAGCCCTCACTGAATATCACGAGACACCTGTAATATACAGCGTGCCCCAGTAGTTTATGATCCCTAACTTTTACAGATCCAGACGAGAATAACAGGAAAGTACGGATTTATTTGCATTCCATAATCACGAGCCCTCACTGAATATCACGAGACACCTGTAATATTCAGTGTGCCCCAGTAGTTTATGATCCCTAACTTTTACAGATCCAGACGAGAATAACAGGAAAGTATGGATTTATTTGCATTCCATACAGCCTTGAACATAGCAGAAACCAACTACAGCTTCAATCTTGAATTCTTGGTGTGATTTCCACCATTTTCCAGGCACTTGAGGATCTGGATCAAAGTTCTCGAGTAGGCGGGTGGCATTTGATGGAATGGTTTCCCACTACCCCCAGACCCTGCTAATGAGTTCCTCCCGATTTCTATGGCGCGGCTGACGCAGATCGCTCTGCTTCAAAATCTCAGCTTTTCCTGTAGTTTGCAATGAGGTGTAATTTTGGGTTTCGGGGAGAACGGCTAAGAAAACGTAAAGGTTTTGCAGACGCACAATAGTCAGAAGCGAAGAACGAATTTCTGTAGAAACAGTTCGGGCTCCTCCTTGGACCAGGAGCAGGAACCGTGTAAAATTTCAGTGTCGTTAAAATATCGGAGGGGAGTCAATATGATGCGAAATCATAACTGAAAAATTTTGGAACTCCCCATGCCATTTTTTCAAGTTGCATGTTTCATATCACTTGGAAATGTAAATCTTGCCAAATTCATTAACTTCCTCAACCTGTGTTCTCTCATGCGCGAGATAGCACACACTCCTTGGAAAGTTTGTTTAGTCTTCGAATTTTTTTTTCATCGTTTGCCCTCGCTTTCAAAACTGAGATAAAAGGCATTATCATGCGCTTAGACGGCATGCACTTTGATATCAAATTCTCGAAAAGGTTGCACTATGGATTCCTTCCGGCCCCACCTTCGTTTCCCAGAAAAGACAAGTGGCAGTTGCCCAAGGAATTGCTTCCCCAAATTGAGTAACCTTGATGTAGGTGGGGTGGGGGTGGAAAACGCCCGGAATATGAATAACATTCCCATGAAATTCCAGTCATAGTTCGTTCTGTCAACCCCCTAATACCAACCTATGCAAAATTGCAGTTTGATGAAGTTGCAATGAGGGAACTGTATGTCTTTGCGCACTCTCTCCGGAACGTGACGTTACTTCGCGTTCAAAAACAAATTTAAAATCCTGCCCACTTTCATTCACTATCTTCTATCCCTCGCGTTTCTGATTCTACAAAATCTGATTTTTCGCCAATGGACCTTCCCTGAAGGCAATCGCGTACACTGTAGTCTTCCAATTTTCCCCGCATGTAACTCTCAGGTTTCCCTTTTCCGAGAATTTTGGAACAGATGCAGAGACTGAGTTCTGAACTTCTCTCTCTCTCCCATTACAGCCACAGGATCATGTCACATGCACATTTCCGTACGTTGCTTATCGAACCAAGCCTTGGTGACTTCATGAAGGCCTACGGACTATGCGTGAACACGTAAGAATCGGGCTTGTCACCATACGACAGTTTCCAAGTGTTCCACACACACGGATAGTTTTAAGGAGGCCCTGATCCCAGCGTACATAATGCGGGAGTTCAGTTCCATTTCTCTACGTCTGTTAGGCCTAATTCATCCAGGAAGATGTTGACAAGGCGAATATTCGGAACACCAGATGGAGGTTGATATCATGAACGTTTAAAGTATTAGAGGGTGGAAAGGGGGTTGAAACATCCAATCATAACCTCATGTAGGACAGAACTGCCAAGAGGTGGCCTGGCTCCTTGCTGTCGCCGACTTGTGTCCAGGGCATCTGACGGCAGTGCCGAGGGATATCCCTCGGCAGGGACACGAGTCGGTCAAATAGGCCTATTCCCTATGTAGGCTTCTTTTCTCTTTTGCAGAAGGCATAGGTTTGTGAAGACCAGTGCTGTGGTGTTGGTTTTTATCATGGGGATCTTGGAGAAAATCTCTGAGATTGAAAGGGAGATATCCCGAACGCAGAAGAATAAAGGTGAGTTAGATGTTTACATAACTCTGTATAGTCTATTGTTATGGCATAATTTTACTCTCAACTTTGAGCTTTCTGGCTCGTCCTTCATAGCTATGCTTGTCATTGTAGGTGATTGAAGCCTAATAAACCCAAATACTTTGGTTTCTAGTTTTTCCAAGATTGCAGTGGTTGGTTGGATCACTGAAAATTGAGTGATTAGTATTTGCTGAAGTCTCACCTTAAATGTGAATTCTGGATTGCCTTTTTGATGCTGATTTTATTCACATGCAGCGACTGAGTATCATTTGGGAGTGCTGAAGGCAAAGTTAGCAAAATACAGAGCCCAATTACTGGAACCCCAGACTAAGAAGAGTGAGAAGGGTGAAGGGTTCGATGTCCTCAAATCTGGAGATGCTCGTGTGGCTCTCATTGGCTTTCCTTCTGTTGGCAAGGTCAGTCCTTTATGCATCAAGTGGATAAGAGCCAATTTTTGAATGGAATGCAAGAGATCTAGTCAGTTCCTAAAAATAATAAAAAATTGCTAAAAATATTTTTTTCAAATTCTACATCTAAAACTTGGGAACAAGGAGCAGCAGAAGGTTGCCATTATACAGATCATCCATCATACTTTTTTCATAGTAAGATAATATTTTGGTGTAAATGTGTTCCCAGCTGAATTTTCTGCTTTCACCCAGATTCTGTCTTCATGGAATGGGCCTGCCAAGTCAACTGGAGGCAACTATGGAGTTCTTGATGCATTAGGTTTTTGTCTAACTAAAGGTGATTATTTTGTCCTGAAGTCCAAGAAGCTTTGTGTTTTTTTTTTAAATTCTCACCAATCATGGACTCATTATCTTTTAGACTTCTGGAAGACAATATTTTTAAGCAAACGAGGCACTAATAGTACTTGAAGAAGCTGTGCTGGATTGATGTCACTGCCTATTATATCAGTATATACTTTAAGGTCAATAATATCGGGACTACACATTGTAAGTATAGATGAAAATTGAGTATTTCATATTGGATTCGTCCAATATGAAATGTCCAATATGAAATGAATCGTCTTTTGTTTTAGTCCACTCTGTTGAATGTGATGACAACTACTCATAGTGAGGCAGCCTCATATGAATTCACCACATTGACTTGTATCCCTGGGATCATTGAGTACCAGGGTGCAAATATCCAGCTTCTTGATCTTCCTGGAATCATTGAAGGTGCAGCCCAAGGGAAAGGTAGAGGAAGACAGGTGAGTCTTCTTGTGATGTCAAGTGAGCAACTTCAAGTGATTTTGATGATGATTTCAAACTTAATTTCTAGGTGGAAAAAAATATATTGTTTTCATTAGTGTGATTTTAACCATGTAACCCAAGTATGTTTCCTTAGTGTAGAGCAAACATCATGATTTATAAAAAGGAATATTTATTCATTTTTCCAAGGAAAAAGTGAATGTTAATGCCAATATAGAACCTGATTGGCCTGCCATGCAATCATACAAATATGCAAATTTTAATTTTTAGAACAGTTGAAGCTCATTTGCTGTGCATTTGAAGTATGAAATTCAAGTGCATATAAGGTGTTACAGAAAAATGTATACATTACTTCCTCCTTTCCAGTGGCTACAGTTTTCTTCCCAACAAAGTGGGTCTGGCCTCATATGAAAGGACTGATCTTGTATGGCTCATGGTTTGGTTGCTCAACCTTGTATACCAATGACGATATCACCATGTGAGTGTAAACTTGTGGTTTATTGTTCACATTACAATTGTAGCAAAGAAAGTTAGAATGATCTGTGTCAAAAACTCGTTAGACCTCACAGTTTAGTCAGCGATGAGATGTTCAAAGTGTCCACCACCTGCAGTCATGCAGGCATTGGCATGTTAGAAAATGCTCTGACATGCTTTTCTGCATGTCTCAGTGGATAAGGCACTGCACACATCCATGATGCATTGCTGCAGTTCTTGAATGATTCTGGGCTTGTGTATAGGCTTTGTCTTCTTCAAATTCATCCCTCAATTGAGTAATGGTGACATGGTTCTGACCCGTATTCACCAATGACATGTTTACACTCACACAGTGGTACTATCATTGATATGCAAGGTAGAGCAACCAAACCACCTGCCATATAAGATCAGTCCTTATCTTTTCATATTGGGCCAGACCCATTTTGTTGGGAAGAAAGCTATAGCTGCTGGAAAAGAGAAAATAGTGAAAACATTTTTCTGTAACACCCTGTATTTTACAAGTACTTTCATCAGAGGAGACATTAATTGCAAATAAATTTTAGCAACTATAAAAAATGGGGTTTGGTTCTAGAATGTATTTCTCATTACTTTACTCAAAAACTGTACTTGAACACCATTGAATATTGACTTGGGATACATACTGCTATGTCATATTGCAATTGTACAACTCAAAGTACACTTCAGCTCATCATTTCCCACATACTTCCTGGATGCAGTCACCAAGTTGCTAATATGACTTGATGGTTAGTGAAGTGTATCTTTGGAATATGCATTGTGACTCATCAAAAAACTCAATAAAACAATTCATTAGTGTTTAAATTACAACATCCTAAACTGGTGAATGTTTTAGTTCTTATATATTGAACATATTTGAAAGAAACTTGCAAATCTTTCTAGAATTCAATTTATCTCTTACTACCAAAGCAAGTCAGAGATATTCCATATGTAGGATACATCTCTTACAGTCATAAATCCTTTGGAGAAGGGAAGATGCACTCAAATGATTAAAAGATTTTAATTAACTCAGAAAAAGAATCCTTGAAAGTTCCTGCAGACTGTCCCATGAAGCCTTTTGTGTCCTTTCATACATGTTTTAGTTCTCAAAAGAAAAAAAAAAGGTTACAAAAATCACTGGTTAGAGCTGAATTTGGAATTGTCTTTCTCCATTCTCCCTGATTCAGAGAAGGTATTAATAATTTAAATTACTTTCCATTTAATGTGTGTTTTTCATTTCGCTTTTCATGAATCTTGCTTACCTTGGAGTAATGTTTCTTAGTTATGGAAAGTGATTCATGAGTCATGAGCTGATTCTCTGGGGTAAGATGTAGTGAATATTCTTTGATCTCTGGGAGAGTTTTGTATTGATTCTACCTTGGATATGTCTATTTCCAAATATATGATAATCTAATGCCTTCTATGACTGAAAATCTTTTAATGTACCCCAAAGCTCAATAGGATCATGTTCCAAACCATTATATTGAGAAGTAATGGATGGATTCAATTTTAATTATTTATTAAACTTTGTGATTCATTTATAACATGACCTTGAAATACTTCATGCATGTCCTAGTGTGAGTTTTTTCCCCCTAAAGTAGTACATTTTCTTTTGGTCAAGATTGCATGAGAAGTAACAAGCAAAGGATGCTGATACTTGGCCAATGATTTTCAATAGATGCAGCCATGGCATGATAGATGTTTTTAAGAACCTCTTAGTATTTAATATTCACAAAGTCAAGTTTCAATACTGCTGTTTGTGATTGTGATTCATACATTTTTCAGCATGGAATTTGTGATTTTTGTGATTCAAAGTAGTATCTTCCAATGCAACTAATGTCAGTGGAAAGCTTTTCAGTATGTCCAGATGTCTATGCCATGGAAATTTTGCAATGTAAAGCTATGATATTTGTAGGATGCAGAGACCATAGGAGTGAGGAATGTAGAGTTTAATTTTGTCATCACAACAGCCACCTGGAGGTACCACTATCTCCAAAAATGTATGCATGTCACATACATGGAATAGTCTAAAACCACCAGCTGCTCTGGCTTTAGTCAGCCATCTATAATACTGGGTGAGGCAAAAAGAAAGCACCACTCTTTAGAATTATGTGATGCCTCTGAAATAGCTGCTAACCCAGCAAAGTTTCTCTGATGCATATATCTATGTGTCCTTTGAGCATCCTTAAAATCTTTGACCATCTCTTGCCATTTTACTACACATGTGATTTTACAAAAGCAATTGGAATTTTATTTTTGCACCAGCCCCTATATTACTGACCTAAGGACTTGCCCCAACTGACTAGAATCTCTTCTTCTTCTCAATTCTTCACAAGGGCCTTTTTCCTTTGTGCTTAACAGATCTCTGACTTGCTCTTACATCTGGCGATTTTCAGATGGGATTTTTACATCCATGTATCTGGAGAAACAATCCACATGAAAGCAGTTTTCTTTAGTTGAAGATAATTCCAGTCTTCTACTCCCTATCTTCCTCTCAGATGCACCATTTTCATGCAGTTTGTGAATCAGTCTCTTAATGATAGGTCTATGTATTTCTCATCCTTTACAAGGAAATTCTTGCAAAATTCTTGCCCCAGTTTTACCCTGTCTTTTACTTAAAGAAGCATTTCCATCAGCAGATAGAGACACTCTGGCTTGAAATTGGTGTGCTCAATGTGTACAAACCACACCCCATGTTGGTACATTTCCTTGGGCAAAAATAAAACTTGAGTAACCTTCACAGTATCACTCGTGGAAAAGTGGCTGGAGAAAAATAAAAATTTTTTTAAAGGCATTTGCAGGGTACATAGCAATTTTTGTTTAAAAAAAATAGTTGCCAACTCATGTGCTGTTTCATGAACTCCCCAAAATCTCAGAGTGGTACTTTTTTTGCCTCACCCGATAGAATGGCTTCTCCTGGATGCAAGCAATCTAAGACATGGATGGGTGTTGCACTGAGCAGATGTAGTGCTTCCAGTGGTCATTTCTGATCACCCTCCATACCCCGTGCATGGCTTCATCTGTGCACTCACCTAATATTAAAGCTTGATGATACAAAATTTCCATAATATGACCATCTGAACATGCCATGAAGTTTCATTTTAACCCTATATGTTGGAGAATACTGTCTCTAATTCACATTCAAATTTTATTGAGAATGAAGAGCAGTTTTACTTTATTGGGAATTTCTTGGTTGTGCTGGGATTTTGAAAATAAAAAGTAGCCTTAGATGTTGAAGAGACACATAGCAACAGCTTAACTCCAAATAAAAATGAAACATTTCTTAATTTTCAACCTTAGGAAAGGTAAAGAGTCCCCTTAAGTAGTGTTCAATATAACTCCTTGATGCAGAAGTCTTTTAACGCTAGAACTACTGGAGCTGTCATTTTGTATTAAAATTGTATTAAAAGTAGTATGAAGCTATTACTCTGCAACATTTTATGTTTTTTTTTTTATATGCTCAAAATGTAAATATTAATTAGAAAAAGTAAAAACTGCAGAGGCTCTCAATTGACAAATGACTAAAGTGCATTTAAAAATAGCTATCTGTCAAAGTGACTGTCCCAGTAGTTCTAGTGTTAAAAACCTTGTTATCCTCCAAGACAGTGTATTCCATGATACCTTGTCTCTGTGGATAATTTACAAACCAAATAATTTTTTTAAATAAATCAAATGTGTAAAATGAAAAAATTTTTTGAACAGTGTATCAAATCAAAATATTTCATTTCCTAGGATGAATGACAATCAGTATAAGGATTATGAAATGTGAGTGTGTTGTCAATGACAAGGAAAATGGTCACAGCACTGCAACCTAATGCTATATTCTTGACTGACAGCATTACATTACATTGTTTTTCCAGTAATGAAACCCTATCAGAAACTTATGGAATATTGCAGGTTATAGCAGTGGCAAGAACAGCAGATCTTGTGCTGATGATGTTGGATGCCACTAAAGGGGAGGTACAGAAAGGGCTTCTGGAGGCTGAACTGGAAAGTGTTGGCATCCGCTTGAACAAGAGCAAGCCAAGCATTTACTTTAAGGTCTGCTTCAAGTCTTTCCTTCCCTTTCAGTGACTCTGAGAGATTCAAATGTCTTGCATCAGAAAACCAGACTGCCCTTTCCATTGGCATCACCGGGATTCATTATGGGCTGTCTACAAGTAGCCTGGTCCTTATTACCCCCCCCTCCCCCCTTTCCCCTGTCCTGACCAGTATCGATATATATATTTTTGCAAAAGAGGGATTAGACCCAATCCCATGTGATCATTCATGGGAACTGAGCATCTACTCTTACCCTTGGTAAAAGTGGAGCATGTTTGGTGTCCAGGAACCTAGTGGATTGATTACTTATCCTGAAGTTTCTCTCTTTATGAAGGTTTACATTCTTTTTGTTTTTGGTAGCATGGTGATGACGCAAAACTGGTACCATTATGTCTGATATTTCTTGCAGTCCAAATCCTGAAGATATTTTACAAGGGAAGAGGAAGGGTACAGGTCTTGAAGCAATTTATCTTGTGATGGTTAATTTCTTGGAAAGTAAAAACCCTCTTTGGGGAATGGCAGGAGAATAGGGAAGACTACTCTGGACTACTCTCTACTTATACACTTGTAACAGTAACTAATATATTGCTGAAGGATTGCCATCCAAAACTCTTGAATTTCCATTCACAAAAGTGACTCTTAGACTCTCCCAAAGGTCCCAGAAAAATCATTTTAGAATGAACACAATACAAATATAAATGGGAGGAAGTCAGCCAAAGTAGGATTATGCCTCTTGTCTGATCTTAATAGTTGTGTTTGACATTGGAACTAATAATACAGTTCTCCAGGGAAGAGAACTTCTCCTCTTTGGATTCTTAGCACTTCTGCTTTGTTACCATTCTGTGTTCACTGGCCTCCTTTTACTCCACAGTTCACATCTTCACCCTTTTGTGTCTATTTTTTTCTGAAAATTTGGTCCAAAAAATGTCATTTTATTTTAGATTTCTTTCTATGAAAATTTCAATTGCAGAATACATTAATTTTAAACATAATTTTGCTTTATTTTAAGTATTACTTCTATATTTTCATAGGCACATACAACAGGGATAAACATGTATGCATTAACATTTAACTCCTTCCAAGCTTTGCTCAAACTGTGTTTTGGAAAATCATGAAGGAGTTAATGCCCCCACAATTTATGTCGACGGGAAGAACAGAAAGCTGTAACCCCTTTCCATTCCTTGATGGCAGTGTCCTCAAACAGAAAAAATAACTTAGAGTTGCCATTGGTGATGCCCAGTTAGCAAAAATATAAATAAAACTAATTGTTTTTTTGGGATTCTTCTGAGTTTCGTGTCATGATGTATGAAATCATTCAAGGGAATCCCTGAGCAGCAGCTGCTGTATGAGATGAGAGCAATATTGATGCCAATACCACTCAATCCCTGAATACACACAGTGTAATCAACTGATATCCTTTGGATCAATGGAAATTAGTAGTGTTCTCATTGCAAAATCTTCCCTCATATTTTCATGCCATAGATCAGGGGTGTCAAACTCAAATCGGTCAATGGGTCACATTCCTTACTCAGCAGATGCCTGCAGGCTGCACCCATAATTTTTCCCTGAAATTTGTGCTAACATTCAATCCAAGCGGAAATTTCAAGAACAGATGGTGGGCCAGATGAACCATATCTGCGGGCCATATGTTTGACACCCCTGCCATAGATTGACAAACCCTCTCAAGCAAACATATTTATTCTCATTATTTGTATGAATCTCATTCCATAGCATACTGGTGTCTTTTGAATTAAAGGTTTTTTATTTGCATGAAATTGTTTATTCCATTGCAGCAAAAGAAGGCAGGAGGGATCTCAGTAAATTCCACATGTCGACTTACCCGTGTGGATGAGAAGATGGTCATGATGATTCTCCATGAATATAAGATCTTCAATGCCGAGGTGTGGTACTGTTAGCTACAGTGTCCCATTTTTGCTGCTTCCAAGGCTTCTGAGCAAATAATCAGCTGATTCAGCTTTGAATGCCTCTTAATTAAGAGTTATTAATTGCCATACTCTTAATTAAGATTATGAGTATAGTAAGTAAGTAAGTAAAAGTCCTTATGAAGTACTCAGGCCTTCTGCTTTATCCAGCAGCAGGCAACTCAGTCCCCTTCATTGAATTGCAGTGATTAAACCACTTCCTGATACCACAAGTTACAGACCCTGTATCAAAACTTACGTACATTCCATTTAGGGCCACCTTCCCTCCTTTGGCCACTTTGTCAGATTAGCTGTCAATACCTGCTACTGAAACACTTTAGCAAAAGAAAATGGACTTATACAAGAAACCATATCATTTCAAATGTGTGCCTCAGAAACATCACCTCTTACTACCTCCCTTACACCTATGCAGAGAAATATAATTACCTTTGCCCTCAATTTTATGCTGGCCAATCTGATTTGTTGTAGCCTTAGTCTCATACTGTGTCTATTTGGTCCACATGTGTTGCTTTTCTAATATTTTTAAAAGAAGTGACTGAAAAAAACCTCTCTAATTATCTGGCCCAGCTGTACTGCTAAAAGTAATATTTTATTTTTATATTAATTAGCTTGTCTTGAGCATGTGGTTTGATATCATAAGCATTGCCTTCTTGAATGAGGCAAAAATGTGTAGTGTAGTGTTAGTGGAAATTTTTTCTTTCCTTTAACCCAAGCCTTAATGACCTATTTTCCATTGGCTTTTAGACTTTTAGCAAATCTCAAGCTGTTTTTTCATGTATGACAAATCATCAATGGAATGCCGTTTTCCCAGATGATTGTGTGATGATGGAGCTGCTCAGAATCAAGTTTTAATTTGGGTAAAGCATTGAAATGAGCATTGGAAGGATCAAGGATCTCTTAAAATTATTTATTAAAAAAAAGCTTAAGCTAAAAAGAAAGGTTGGGATGATGAACAGCAGGGAAAGGAAGGATTTTAATATGTGAATGAAGTCTTCATTCCATTCTAAGTAGAAATGGGCAATTAGGTTTTTTTTTATACACCATTCTGCATAAAAAAATGAGAAGCTATGTATGGAAATATGTATAGTTATATTTTCAAATGACACCTTTTGGGAATGAATGTGTTTTTGCTCAGGTGCTGTTTCGTGATGACTACACAGCAGATGACTTGATTGATGTCATCACAGGCTCCCGTGCCTACATCCCTTGCCTGTATGTCTATAACAAAGTTGATCAGGTTTCCATTGAGGAAGTGGATCGTCTTGCCCGGTTACCCAACTCAGTCGTAGTTAGGTATATAACCAACTCCTTTCTCTCCAGTTTGTCTCCTTTAGAAATGACTTGACTAGTTATTGGTTGCTTGTGCATGAAGCTGCAACATGAGGCTGAACCTGGAGTACTTGCTGGAAAAGCTCTGGGAGAAGTTGAGCTTGGTGCGAGTGTACACAAAAAAGCCTGGGGAGCCACCAGATTTTGATGGGGGGTTGATCTTGCGACGCAGTTGCACTGTGGAGCATGTCTGCCATACCATCCATCGGACCCTGGCTGCCTCCTTCAAGTATTCTCTTGTTTGGGTATGTCTGTTTTTCCCATCACATATTTATTTATTTATTTTGCCTCAGTCTGGACAGGGGCATGAGACTCACTTATGGCCCTCCAGCCATATTCTCCATGTAAAATCAAGTACAGAAGCAAGGTTTTTGGCAGGGATTCTTTTTTCAATTTGATTTTGGTTTATCATTCTCATGATGCTTGAACAACAGAAAGCTAGCCTATATACTCTTATATCTATGATTTGACTTGCATTTTTCTAGCCTCAATGATTCATGTTTGTTTTGAGTTTTATCCAGATTATCATTTTACAGTGAGCAGTTATGCTCTTGAATCCTATAGGAATGATTTACTCAGGAGTTGTCTGAAAATGTATTATAGGAATGATCATGTTTCTGTGAATTTAATTGCTAAATTTGCTGTTTAACCTTTGAGGCAACAAAGTACAAAGAAATGTATCACATAGAAATCCATTAGGCTTAAATGTTTGGGTTATTTGTGATTACTGAGACTCAGATTCTTTCAAATTTATTCTCTGTTGTTTTTAGATGTTGATATCAGATTACAAATGGCACAATGTGTTTCAAAAATGTTTGAATAATGCCAGATTTTGTACTTGGGGATTCTTTTCCTTCTTGCAGGGGACAAGTACCAAATACAGCCCACAGAGAGTTGGTCTCCATCATGTGATGCATGATGAAGATGTCATCCAGATCGTTAAGAAGTGACACTATGCCTTTCTTCAAGCCCTTCATCAGTTATTGTGCTTATGAATGATTTGAAAGGCATATGTAAATGCACTGTATTTAAATTATCCTTCCTTTGCTTCTTGAGCCCTTAGTGATGCTTTTCCTTGGATCTACATTATCCAAGTCTTTTGTTGTTCTTTCATGAAAAGTGCACTCATCAGAGTGTGAATTAAAAATTGTCTGTTACAGATTTCACCATTCCATGTATGCAGCTCTGGCACCAGATACTTCTCAATCTATTGTTGTGCTGCAAGCATCCATGTCATACATATTTCCTAATGGGGTACTGGCAGAAACAACTGTTGTGTTGAATACAAAAAACTTACATAAAGCAGTTGGTATATGGTAAAGGAAAAAGAGGTTAAAATTGGTAAAAACAGGCTTATGTTGAAAAAATTCCCTAATTTTAATTGAATCTGCTAAAAAAAAGTTATATTTAACCCTTTCCATTGAAACAAGTAGGCAAAATATACTTCAACTTCTATTATCAAGGAGGAAAAAAATTAAATGTTCCAACTCTAAAGAGGTGTCAAGCTGGTTAAAAAGTATCCAAATATGTTTGAAATTCCAAGAAACAAACAGTAAGTTTAAACCACAAAAAGACAGATTAACTACATTAAATGAAAATTTTCATTTGGGATGATCCCTTGACCTGTGTGCCACTTGGCAGTGGTCCTCATGATGAAAGCCAAAATATTTGTCTAATAAAGTTGTGGTTTTTGATGTCATGAAAAAGAACATAGTGAAGTAATAAAAAAAAAAAAGACTTTCCAAGCTCAATTCAGTGCAGGTGCTTCTTGTGCATTTTGTGGAGCACAGCAAGTCAAGGTGACAAAACTAGTTAGGGGCATTGCTCATCGTGGTCCAATTTCGATTAAATTACACATATATATGTACCATTTGTATCCATGTCTTGATCCTTGATCAATTTCAAACCATTCAGACATCATGATACAGTTCATGGCTAACTTGTCATGGAAAGTCTCATTTGCTTTTCTGGAGAAGGGACACCATCCTCAAAGAAGGACTGCACTTTGTCATCATGAAGTGCACATATGAAATAAGGATATCAGGATTCCACAAATAAGTGAAATTCCATAAGTTTCTTGGAGGAAAGTAGTTAAGACAAGGTTGCACAACAAAAGTCTTTGAGGGACCCAGGAAATCTTTTCCACCTGTAATACTAGGCCTATGTGATGATCAAGGTTTGATGTGATATCAGTTTGCCTCTAAGAACCACTGTCCTTGGAATCTTGAGCATGTCTGTCCCCCCTTTCAAGCCTAGCAGAAATTTATTGTTTCCATGATTCCTACATGAATCAGGTGCTAGTACCATTTTGAGTGACCACTTGTGTATGGTAATTACAATCTGAGTTTATCACTCTTATCCTATTCTTATGTTGCATCCAGAGCCAGGAATCACTTTTATCCCATTCCCATCCCATCACAGAAGTGAATGCTATCTTACTCTACTCAGTCATCAATGAAATTTTCAATCACATTCATATCCATATTTGCTAATTTTCCTAACTAATTAGGGATGATGATTTATCAGAAATCATATTAGAAGTCCAAGTAATTGAGTACAAGATTGGAAGTAATTTTAATTAGAGCTTTTAGTCAAAAGTTTTGTCTTTCAAATACTTATTTGAAAGGATTTTAACCCTTTGTGGAGAACATTGGAAAAAAGATGGGGGAAAATGAAATTATAAATAACATTTTAATTGGTTCATTTCATGTTAGAACAAAAATTGTTGGACTCACTTATTCCTTGAATATTTGCCTTAAGTGAATTTTCAGTTTAATATCACTCTGGTTGACACATGTGTAGGCTCAAAAATACTAAAGCTATATATACCGTATATGTGCATACTCCTCAGAGGGTTAAGCATCATATTGTCTTTTTTTCCTGCCTGTCCTTTAGTTTTATAATAGTTGACAAAACTTGTCAACAACACTGACAGAAATAACACTGATAAGTGCATGTGAAATGATCATGAGCTATGTTGAGAAGCTTTGCTTTATAGAGAGAGAAATGGCATATGAAAAAATAAAGAACAGATCAGGGTAAGTTGGGTAAACCTCAAAAAACTATGAGTGTGATCACAGGCATCAAAAGAATGTAAAGCAATTCAGAGGAAATCTTGGGATATTTTTCCCTCCTTTAATATGGAAAGTCCACATTCCCAGGTTTTCGATGAGATACAGCTAGTCCTTGGTGAAGATTGAGAAGTGAAAGTGGAACCAGATCATGCCTGGTTTTAGAAAAATTGAGAATTCTGACAAAATCCAACCAGATGTTCATTCTTTCTTGGAGTCAAACTTCTTGCTCTCCTTCTTTGACTTCTTCTTTTTGTCCCTCTTCTTACTCTTGTTCCTCTTATCGTCCTTCTTCTTCTTTTTCTTGTTCTTATTCTTGTTCTTCCTCTTTTTCTCCACCTTCTCACGAGCAGGCTGATCACTTGCTGCTGGCTGATCTCCAAGCATGCGATTCAGCAGCTCTGTCTCTTCTTTTGGCTGTATTTTTAGAGAAAATTAAAAAGGTAACTGAACAGATGTGATATTTCTAGGAAAAAGAATGACTACAGTCTTAAAAATTTTTCAAGACCACTGAGTGAATCTAATCCACCTACAAATGTGAACATATCCTGTCTACAAAGCAAAATTCTGAATAGAAATTCCATTAGAGCAAAGGCAACCATATCTATAAATATTTGGAAATGGTATCAGTCACAAAACTTAGGAACACATATCACGATAATGGTTCTAATAGTTGTAGCTACCATAAAGGAAATTATTCAGGTGAGAGGAATGAAAAACATTGTCACTCTCTGATTTCCTTGCTTTGCTACCTGATGAGTCAACACATGCTCCCTCTGATCACACCTGAAGTCAATGTGTCTTCAGGTTGGTCTAGGAATCACCAAGGCATATAAACTTTTATGCAATGAAAGCAGAGAGATTAAGTTCATTCTGACAATGATCAAATAAGTTCGATCAGTGTGTCACACCACCAGTCACACGGTATGGTCACATCATATTGACATGAGATATTGTAATGTCTGACAAAACTGTGGATGAGGCTTTTGCAGCAAAAAGAAACCATGGTGAAGGTGAAGCATTGAATGATTTATGCCAATTTTTTATGTCTCACTTTGCTAAGGATTTGTTTGAAGACTGGTTATTTTACCTTTGACACAAACTTGAAGGAAGAACTCGCTAGTAAGATTGAAGTATTCCAAAATTCCTTGGTCAATTCCCTGATATTCCCTTTTTTCAAGCCTCCATGCCTTGAAAAAGGAAGGGGCTCATAGCACAAGTTATTTATATGTTCATCTGTGAGTCTGTTTTGTGTCAGGATGAAGCTTTTACATTAAGTATCCATTAACCCTGTTGCTCCAAGCATCATAACTTGCAACATGTTAAACCTCATGTCTGAGGTTTCAAGCCAACCTCCATTCCCCCATCATGTGCAGTCTTTTGCTTATATCACCTATAACACCACACCCAGAGAATGTTTACTTCTAGAATGGGCTTGCCAAGCATGTTTATTTCGTTGTCAAGAACTTTCCTATGATTGAGATCCATGAAGGGGAAAAATTCATAGAATTCAAGTCAGATTTGTCTCACTCCAGGTTACATTTAGCAGTGAATTTGAAGCCATTAATTTGTTAATTTGCTCTTTAAAAAAATTATTCGGATCATCCAGCACGTTTAGCAATGGAGACTTTTGCATTACAAAATTACCCAAACCGCGAGACGCTCTAGCCGTGGGTTCTGGATACTGTGTAGTGGAGGGCGAGGGGGACTGCCTACCTGATAGGAGAGGTCCTGAAGGTGCAGTCCCTGAGCATCACGATGGTGTAGACGATGATGCTTGCGGTGTGGGGCTTTCTCCACGTCCAGGGACCCCCAGTGCTCTCCCCAGTGTCCAAAGTGAGGCTTCTCGCGTGGGTGATGGGGCTTGGACAGGTGAGGTTTCTCGTCCAAGTCGATCTCGTTGGTCAGTTCGGGCTTGTGGGGGTCGGGTGATGTTCTTCGCCTGCCGTGCTGGTCCAACGAGACAACAGATACCGGTTGAGGCAAGACAACAACGAGAGATGTCGCCGCAAGAAAAGGTAAGAGACGTAGGCCCGAATCCTGAACCTCATTTGGACGAGTTCAATTTGAAGAGCTCTTTCCTCCCCCCCCCCCCCCCCCCATAGAATATCATGAATTTTCAAGACCGTTAACTAAATGTTTCAGCATTCGGGCCGTAGTAAATGCGAGACTGATAAAGATTTCTGCCCAATTGATATTCACCAGGAGTAGGCCTAATTCAGAGTTCCAGTCTCCGTATTTCTGTGCGGGAAGGGCACCGATTCAGATCTTTTCCAAGATCCAGATGGATCGGCAAGCAATTTGGGGCGGGGTGTGTGTGGTTCGGTCGGTATCGAGCCTGGTTCCCGCCAATTTCGATCCGTTTATTCCTTCGCACTCCCTCCGGGGTGTTTAGGCAAGGGGGATCCCTGAGCTTGTCAAGCTCCCGGCTCAACACGTCATGAGGAAACGAATCCCGGTGGCGAAGGCCAAGCCCGGGTAGTGTATCAGGGCCTCGTTCGGCCTACCCTGGGGGCGCTTACAGGGATTGCTGGATACGGTTCTGGGGTTTCGGTGTCTGAGTGCATTCATTGCGTCTCAGCCATTTGTGGCGGGTGGCACATCGTGGACCACATACATAGGTATTTGCGGATACAACAAAATTCAAAACCAATTAATATCCATTGTCATACGGATTTAGCTATGCGTGAAAAAAGAAAGCAAGACAGGATTTAACCTGCAAGGCTGCAAGCAAATGACTTCCTCTATCGAGACATCCTCGTTTACGTCTATTACGAAATATGTATACTTTTCCGATGCCCGGGTTTATTTCCTCTTCCGTCTGCTTTCTCTCGTTTACCTCGATAACATTGGGAAAGCACGGACTCGTAAAGATTCTATTTTCCCGAGCACTTTGCAAGCCTTCCGTTCCGTAAGCGTTTAAAAACCAGGGTTGACAGACGTTCGGGTTTCAGCCGGTCAGACCGGATTTCATGTCATTCGTCAGGGGTACGATTATGGCTTGACCCGGACGGTAGAAACGTCCGGGTTTCCGCAAATAAGAACGTAATATGGGTATGGGTGTGAATAAAAGACGACTCCCAAAAATGCTGTCGGATTTGCTTCAATGGAATTTACGTTGGCGACCTTGAATGGGTGAATCACGAATCAGACCGATCTGTTTTCATCCGGTGGTGATACGGCGTAGGCGGCCATGTTCACCAAAGAAAAACACCATTCTATATTCAGACCAACTCGGTCGACATTCCAGAGATGAGAAAAACGTCAAAATATGCTTTAAGCAAAGTTCCGAAACTTTCTGCGACGTAGCACTGCGGAGCGGGGGGAGCGCCGCATCTGGATTTGTCATCTGGCAACCCTAGGAGGAACGGTCCCCCCCCCCCCCCCCTTTCGATGACTGAGGGGGATTGTGCCCTCACGCGAGTCAGCTTGCCCTCGTCCGGAAAGGCATTTCAGAGCATTCGCTTCGGGAGGCCCTTGCATCATCTTCAAACCAGGCCTCCCTCGTTTCTCTCTCTCTCTCTCTCTCGCAATCCTACACGATCTGCGGGGATTTCTGCTGCGTCGTGCAAGCACTCGAAATTCCCGCGATTAATTGAGCAAACTGTCAACCGTGTGTCAGGTTTTATTTGCCTAATGCAAAGAGGGGGAGACTTGAGTGGCGATAACAGGTCCTTTTCCAAATTGAAAGCCATTGTGCTAAATTAATTAAACCGATGGAAGTACAAGTTAACACAGGCACTGTCGACTTTCATTTGAAGGGTGTTCCGATTCTCCCTGAACAAACAAAAAATCGAATCCTGGCTTGGTAAAGAGGTCACCACATCCTGGCTAAATATAAATAAAAGTCATGAAGTGCGAAGTATGGTTCTCCTGAACAATGAATCGGCACCTTAGCGAGGTAATTGGAAATGCTCATCAGTAGAAGTAACATAAATCACAATTAATGAAACCATGACTATGGCGGTAATCAATAGGGAACTGGTATCATTTAGGGGACTATAGTTTTGGAAAATCACTCAGCGCTTTTGCTGGCAGGAAAGGCGTAGTACTGATTCGCTTGAAAAAAATCGAGAGAGAAAGACCGACAGAGACAGACAGACGGGGGGGGGGGGTTTCAATTGGATGGATAGATGCGGAGAAGTAGGTCCTTGGAAGCAGGAAGTAGGGTCCACGGACCTCAAAACATAAACACATACCAATCATGATGGTATGTGTGCGTGTGTTTATCCCGTTTTTGGCACACGCGCCCGTACCCCAATGGGGGAATGGGAATTATCATCTCGATGATAGCATCTTCCTTCCCCCCGTGGAATTGGGACGCGAAACTCTTTTCTCTTTCCGCTTCGTCATGCCTTGCTTCCGCTCTTCCTGGGGAAGGGAATCGCGTCTCCTCGGGCCCCGATGGCTGATACGCCTTTGCAGAGTCCAAGGAGATGGAAACAAAAGAGACGGAAGACACAATGGCTTCCACTCTTTTCCCCCTCTATCATGGTTCTGCCCCGCTGCACGATTCTTGTAATCCCACGTAATGATATACCAGAGACTGCTGCTGTACGTGCGAAAGCTCTTAAGCCGGTGTCAGAATCCTATCTTCTCCGAGGAGTATTTCGCCATATCCAAGGGGGAAACTGGTACACATTAATGACTACAGTCGACTCTGCATATTGGCACACTCACGGGACCGGCGAACTTTATTCTATAATCCGGAGTATTCCAATAACCGAAACTAGACACTATCTGCTATATCGTACCGTAAATCGGGATCGTGCAATGGTTTCCATTAAGCGGAGTCGACTGTATTTTGAATTTGAAGAATTAGCTGAATTTACAAGGGGGGAAATGGCCTGACCCATGTTCAGATTGGAAGGTCTAATAGGTGCCACATCCTCCAAATCCCGTAAATTTAGACGGAATTCGCGAGGACTTCGGGTTAAAGAAGGAAAATTAAAAAAGAAAAAGAAAAACGAACGCCATGAGGGGCGAGTACCTCCACTCCGGTTCAGCCCTAATTGGGAACGGACGTGAAGTGGCCATGTTCCATCGGCGGTTTGCCTTCAAATAAGGTAAAGAGGATAAATGCAAAATACTTACATTCCCCTTGGCTTCCGCCAGGAGGAATCCGAATCCGGCGATGAGAAAGAGGAGAATCCGCATCTCTCCCTCTCTCTTTCGAGAGAACTCGCACAGGTGTGAGAGGGGCGTGCACGTACACTAAGGCGCTGCGGAAAGAAGCTGGCTTGCTCGGTGCGTGAAGCGAACGAGTGTGCGGGATGGGAACGGGATGTCGAGCGAGGCAGGGAGGTTGTCCGGCCTTCCTGCGCCTGCTCCCCCTCGTCCCTCGGGCCGTCATCACCCGAGCCTGCCTCCTTTCCCTGCCCTCGGGCTATCATCTCCTCCCTTCGTTTGCCTGGCCTTCGACTAGAGGTGTGGTCGGGCCCGAACCCAAAACTCACTCGGGCCCGATTCGATCCCAATGAATCGAAATCGTGCAACTCGCAAGTAGGGGATTGCATTTTTTGTTCACTCTCATGAGAATCATATCGCGTGCCACCTTTGTGCTCCTAAATGGGGCACCTGAACTTCCGGGCCTTTCACATTTAAATGACCTCGACCTCGAACAATGTTTCCCATTTCCTCTCTCCTTTCTCCCACTCATTCCTCCCTCCTTCTTTCCCATCCTTCCCTTTCTTTCTCCGCCCTTCCCTTCATCGCATTTAGCTCCGCGATTGCCGGCTAATGTAGAAAATCGTCTCACGTATGAACTGTGATGTCCTCGACAGATTGCGAAACGCTATCGAGGAGGAAAAACTTGACAGCTGAGCATGTAATCCTGCCTTGTTTCTTATCAGGTGTAGGTAAATAAAAAATGGCATGTATCAAGTCACAGAAACCCTAGTTATCCTCTCATTCCTGCAGATAGTAGGTTACACGACAATGTACCTGGGGCCTTCCGTTTCGACGTCATTTTTGACTTCAGGGATTGACACTTCTCCCTTCTGGGGGGGGGGGGGCGTTGAGAGTCTCTCTCGGGCACCGAAATAGCTGGGACCGGTCCTGTCTGGCGTTCCGTTTAGAATAGGCTTTCAATAGATCCTATATTATGATGCTAGTGGGAATACCTCGTAAGTATTCTTCATCTTGCTACATCTTAATGAATTCATGTTTTAAATATCGTGGGAAGAAGTGAAAATCCTCAAAGAAATATGTGAATTTGATGTTAAGAAAACGATCGTAATAGCATGAATCAGCATCAACATGAGTGTCAAGTATCGTGATTTCGGAACAATGAAGGAAATTTGTGTAAGTTGGCAAAGTCTTCTCATTCCTTTTCTATCATTCATCATACATCGTCTCTCGAACATAATTGACAAAGAAAAAGCCAAAATATCGAGTGAAAATCCCCATGTCATCTACGAGGTATGCCCATGAAGCCGAGGAAGAACGCAGGAAAACTAGCTGGGAAAAGTTACGTCGCCGTCCTCAGTAGAACAGTTTATTGGACCGTTATTGACCAAACATTTTGTCGATATTGCAATATTGGTCCAATATAGTGTACTGCTGGGGGTGTAGCACTCCCTTGAAGCTCAGGACCTAGATCTGGGGCGAGTGGGAGTGGGGGAAGAAGTGGCTGGCGTCAACCAATGGGCCTCCTTCGATCAGCTTGGCACGCAACAAAGACGAAGAAACCATCACCTTTTGAGTCTTTTGACTGCTCCCGGATGCGTGGGCCGGGAGAGGACGGGGGGCATATTCACCCCTTCCCTCCAGGGTGGGATGTGCCCCTCCCCTCCCCCTTTGGAAAACGTTCCGAATCAAGCGTTCGATCCCCTCATGGCGCGAGTTTGCCTCACTACCCCCTGATATGACATGCCCATAACATGTCCATGACATGTCCTCTCTACCCTGACTTATCTCCCCATACACTGAAAAGCTGGAGTTGGCTCTGTCCGAGCAAGCGCTGACGTCCCTCGACGTAGTCTAAACCAAGGGTGACAATTCAGCAAGAGATATCGTTACGCTCATGTGACCATGAAACGAGGAATCTTACCAAGGTCAAGACCGAGTCGCATGTAAAAAAATGCAGACGTGACTTTCCGTTGGCATCGGGTTTTTGTCTGGCTACGCCGATTAAATAAAGACGCATTTCCTACCTCAAGGATACGCGAGATCGAGTGATCATAGTCCAAGACAATATCTTAAGACGCATATCGGACCTGCCCGTCATAACGTGATGCTTCTCTCTTTTTTTCCGTCAATATATAACGATATTTTTCGCAGATTCTGTTTCTCCTGACTTGTTTGTTCCGGACTTTTAGTCTCATCAGAGTCACCTGGACTTATCTTCTTTTGGCATTTCTCCAGTTCTTGAGAAATGATTTCCACATGGTTTGGAGTAATTCCACATCCTTCTCGAATTCCTTCCGATGTTCGTTTCCCTTCCCAAGAATAGGATTCGAAATTTAAGAACTTCAAAGATCGGGAATTTCTTTTCGGAAAATGTGGGAAAGCTTAAAAAATTCCATATGGTAATTGATACGCATTGATTCTCAGCCCTGCCATATGTGTTCGTTGTCAGTCAGGTGCAGAGCATAAGAGACAGCTGCCAAAAAAGAAGACATTACCCATTATTGATTGAATCATTGATATCGGACCATGGAATAGTTTGCAGACGTAAGATCTGAAGCGACTTGATTTCAGACTTTTCTTTGCCTGGGCATTTATTAATTTATTTTGTTTTCATTTCATTCTTTTTTTAATACTTAATTTAAAGTTCATTAATTTTGTTTCACTCGAAGGAGATCCAAGTTAACGAAAGATCTGGATTGCGGAAGTGCACCTGTTGGAGTCTTGTTTTTTTTTTTTCCATGTGAAAAAAATGCTTCAATTATCCTTGAATCCCATGAACTTGAGCATGGCGTGAGAACCCTCTTCGATGAAGGTACCATTTTTCACGCTATTAAATCTTCATACGTTTCAATGGATATTTCTCACATGCGAATGTCAAGGGTAACCATTGATCTTCGTCCCCTCTCGACTTTTGTTGCAAATCAAAGTCAGGTGTTTCTAAGGGACTAGGGAGGGAATTGTGGACGAACGAATATTATGCTCTCCGAGTCCTGCAGCATCGATGCAAATGGCTGCAAATGTGTAACGAGTATCATTAGCCTCTTTGGATGTCAAGCCGGTAAGTTTATTTTAAGTGAATTGCTTTGTGTGTGTGGCGTTGGCTTTAATTTGATATTAGGTCTGCATTCCATATCGCTTGATAATTTTTTCTTCCTTCGACGCTGAGGCGCAGTTTTGAACATGAGCATTTTTTAGTATCCTTGGAAACATTCCAGATCAGTCTCATTCGGACCGCTTGCCATAGATAGATGCAGTCCAGAACGCCTTGCGCTTCCTGTTCTCACTTCCACTGGCCTTCTTTCTCTCCAGTTTGCTTATGTCTGACTTCCTCTGGCGTTGAAACTCTAAACGGGTTTGAAGATATTGCACTTCCTTGTTTAGGACTCTGAATGACATGCAAGATGTCGATGCACTGGCGCTTTCATAAACAGAAGCCTTGATCGAATTTGACGAAGACGGAAAAAGGTTGTGGTATGATAGAAGGAAGTGTAACCAACACAGGCTCCGTAGTATTTTAGTGTCGCGTATGCATGGTTATTTTTTTTTCCCTCTTTCACCTTCTCACCTTGGGCCGGAGGACTATTATCTCCGACCAGCCTTGCCTGGTTCGTCCTTGTAAATAGTGGAGGTTCCTCCATTTTGGGGACATTCCCAGACATTCCCGTTAGATACTCGGGTGGAACTCTCGTGACATTCGTGACGGCATTCGTGGTGAAAGAGCACCCCTCGGCAGCACTCGTTGGCACTCGGCAGATCGACCTTCCTTCTGGCCTTGGTCGTTGAGAAGGGTGCCCCGTTCTCCTTCGCTGGGCCTTGAGGTTCTACGCTCTTCCTCCTCCAGGCTGAGTGGTGTTTCTCTGCCGTTTCTCTTCTTCGACGCTAAACAGAAACTCGGACGAGGGACAGGACATTTCGTCCCTTCTCTTCAGACTCTCTCTCCTTCACATCCTCAATCCGGTGACCTTCATTGGAGGATATTTATTGTATTTGTTGGTTGGCCGTTATTAACTGGAAGAATCCAGTTACCTCCTGTCCCTTTCACTTGCCATGCTAAATCTTGGTTACGTAGGGTATTGTTCCGAACCCACATTTTCTCCGCCGCACCGCACGTAGCGGTCACATGAGTCAATAGATTACAACTACCCACGTGACATTAGTACCTTGATGGAACCGTTCGATTCCATTCCCATAGGAATTGAAAATAAACTCACGATGGTAACCATGAAGTGACCACGAGTTCGAGTGGGACGTGACCGGTTTCAGGACGGGATAGGTTTTTGGAAAGTAGCGAGGATCTTAAGACTACTGGATTTTAGGCGAGCACGGAAAGGCGGAGTGTTGCATGTTGCAGCCTTTAGCAGCGAGGCCTGGATAACGAAGGTCTAGTGAACCTGCCCCTAGCATTTGCAGCCTTTCACGTGACTACCATCGTCCTGCTTGGACGATGGTAGTCACGTGACGCTTCATATCCTCCAAGATGGTGGCTCTTTCTCGTTTAATTCTTCTATGTGCTTCAGTGCTAGCCGCGTTTCATGAAATGGTACGCTGCCGCTGCCCTGCAGACTCTTCTCGAGGGAGTGCATGAATCGGAAGAGTCAACTACGAGGGATAGAAACAGGGTGTGAAGTGAGCCTAATTGCTAGACAAGTATTGAGATTGGCTCTCTGATCGACGAAGTTGATTCGAATATCTTCAGGCCTACAGTTACCTTACTTTATTCCACTATCTCTTCTTAGACTTGGAGGCCAAGCATTTCCTCCTTTTTTCTTTAGAATGATTTCTCGAGAAAGACCATTGGCGTCATCGTGGATCCCTGACGATGTACGTGGACGTGTATCCCTGCGATGGGATTTTCAGACAACACAGAAACCTAAGCAATCTTGGACTTGGGAAAAGAAATTCCCGATAATAGCACCTCTTCCGAAAGGTCTTCATCACGATTCTATCACGTGGCTCAGACATGACTTCCAGAAAAGTAAACACGAAATTCAGGGCAGAGAGAAATACCGGATGAGGCAAATAAAAAAAACGCGCTGCTCATTGAGACTCACTTCTACGTATCCTTTAAACGTCCTAAAATTATCTTTCTCCAGCCGTTTTAACACACGGGTGAAAACGCGAAAGCAGCTCGATTTTTATTTTTGCGTGAGGATACGTATTGGTGGGAGAGTGGTTGCTACACGTTGAGCGCACCAATCTCAGGCCAGAGCTTCTCCGTCTGCTCAT